TGATACTAACTGTGACACCCCAGGGTTCACACAAGGTTGCAGTCTAAGGTGAAACCCGGATTGTCAAACCTGCCAAGCAACAACACCATGCTACGACATGTTTCACTATCACAGTTACTATCTCTCTAGTAGAATCAACAAATAGGTGAATGTACAAAACAGGTAAATAATGGAAATAGTACAAGAACAGAATATGCACAGAAGAAGTATATAAGAAATAATCAATAAATGAGCCCAACTGAAATAGAATAATAATATCTCTAAACTGTAACAATATATCATGTCTCAGAATAAAGAGTCAAATGAATTTCACTAAGGCATTCAGCCTCTACAAAATAAAAATACTAGCCTAGAGTCTAAAAATATTCAGCTACTATGGAGCTTTGGAATGACTACAAATATAAATAACTAGAAAGAATCTAAGATACAATCCCATCAACCTACGACTCTCCGTGCGTCGGACTTGCTACCTAAAAAGGGGGGAAACAATGAGCGTCAAAGCACTAGCGAGATCATCTTCACCACCCCCAGGGGGAAGGGATAAGAGTATATAAGAAAATACTGTTAGTACAATATAGATATAAAAGCATTCATAAAGTTCTAAGTGGAGATTAATATTTAGAAACCCACAACACAAGAATTAGTACGTCAAGTGAAATAATCCAAACAAGGAAACCCTCATGATATACCATGTCTCAAATTGTGGATGTCTAAATACTAATTTTCAATCCTATGAATGCAAATAGTACAAGAAGAAAAGTACCCCAAACCTCTACCAACATGAACCAATGTCATATCTTGAACTACCCTCGGGTAGTTAGCGCAGTCATAAGGAAATTACAATATCATCCAGCTCAAATATCACCATAAGCCATATCATGTATATCATGCATCCAAAATATACCCCACACTTGGGTAATCTAACATGGGAGAAAACTACGACTGTGTGAATATGTCTTTATCACATAACAATACTTTTGTAAGGTTCTCACATTCACATGTGGATTCAATGTCCTTACTCAATCGTTCTACGACAATAGGTTTTATCTTCCTATTCCGGATATACTTCCAGATGATCGTACAACAGTGAATAGGCTTATCAACCCAAATCGAAAAAACACACCTATCATCTTCGAGTATTTGGTACAATCGAGGTCTTATTACGGGAAAACAACCAAATACTCCTAGTATAGTACAATCGAGGTCTCATTATGGGATAAACAACCACACTAAGTATCCATAACTGATGAGCTATAATTCGTCATATGTTCTTTCTTTTTCATCAACTCCACGTGTGTCAAATACCTCAACAATGCATGTCAATTCAATATAAACTAAGTGTAAGTGCACACATCCCAGTGTGCATATCAAAATCTGGTGTTCACCAACACTTTAGGTGTTAACAGCTTATAAGTGTCATAGTATAATTTGAAAAAGATCGAGATAATCCCTCGAAAATAGAAACATGAGTCAAAAACATGCACAGGCTATTTGCCTGACTGGTGGTCGACCACGACTTAAGTGGCGGTCAACCGGACCGTGTTTATCAGTCGACAGACCTCTGCCTATCTAGTGGTTGACCACGCATTAAGCGGTGGTCGACCGGACCGCAATTTCCAGCCTTCTTAGCAGGTTTTGTGATTCTGTGTTCGTGCGTGTTTTTCGTTGTTCTAACTTGTTTAATTCATCATAAAACTTATGTAGAATATCTTAAACACTAGATTAACATCTCTGAAGATCATTAAACATATGAAACATGATTAATTGCATGATAAATCATATTTAAACCCTTAAACATGCACGAAACATCGATACGAAGCATGATTAATTGCATGATAAATCATATTTAAACCCTTAAACATGCACGAAACATCGATACGAAGAATAAATCATCAAAACTCAATGATAAATCATATTTAAACCCTTAAACATGCACGAAACATCGATACGAAGAATAAATCATCAAAACTCAATTAAACAATATTGTTAAATACCTTCAGATCTTAAAACATCTCTGGAAGTTCATTCTTAATCTTTTAAACACAAAAAAGATCTAGTCTTTATTCATATAATATAAAAGATTTGCTTTTATACTCAAACTAGTCGATTAGGCTCAATGAAATCACATTAAAACTCATTAAAAACGTTTTAAAAAAACTTGGGAGTAGAGTTAGAAGAGATGAAACTCACCTGAGACTTGATGAAAAACGTGAAAGATGCAAAGCTGTAATAGATCTCCAAGCCTCAAATCCAAAACAAACCAAAATCCCGCTCCAAAAACCCTTAATCTCTTTCAAAAATCAAACTAGAGTTTATAGAAGTGTTTGGTGGCTGCTAGAGTATAAAAACTCTAAGAAATTCATGAATATATGATATATATATAGCAGAGAAATGAACCTGGGCCTGAAAATGTCCGAAACCAACTCAAATTTCCGAAACCAACTCAAATTAGGAAAACCTGATTTCTGATCGGCGGTCGACCGCGCATATGCGGCGGTCGACCAGACCGCAAACTGCCAGACACACAGGTCCTTGGCCATTATGCATGTTTCGACTCGTTTCTTTCTTATGTACTGACTTGTTTATACTCAAAATACTTGTTAGTGTACTCATACACCATTTAATGATATTTATCACAATAAATATTCACTTATCATAATTAATCACATATTAATTATATTATCTCAATTTTTTTGGGTTTTACAGCTACAGTGTTGAGTCGATTCATGAAATGTTGTACAATTAGTTTTTTCATCTGCTGAGTCGATTGATAACTTATGAGTCGACCTACGTAGACATCAGTCAACTCACTACGGTGGCAAGTCGACTGGTGAAGTGTTTGTACAGTTAGTGTTTTTCGTCTGTCGAGTTGACTAATAATTCAATGAGTCGACCCATGCAGACATCAGTCGACTCATGTTTGTCATAAGTCAACTGACAATAGAGCCGTTGCATAGTAATGGCTAGTTTCCAGATTTTGTGTTTTTTTTAATGTTTTTCTTGATTTTTGTTGGTTTCTTAGGCTGATTTCTTCCACCCTATATATACCCCTTTGCCATAAGTATTTTCAACTACCAAAAAAGTTTTTAAACAAGTTTAAAGGGTGTTTAAAGTTTGTTTAAGTGTGTTTTCACATGTGTTTTGTGAAGAAAGTTTCACAACAAGAAGAGTAGATTAATGCTATTATTTGAGCTTCAATTTCATCCATCTCCCTCTCTTGTTTTTTAGAGAAGATTCCTCTAAACTCAATTTCTAGCTTCATACATTTATTTGTTATTTATTCATTTAATTTAGCTAGAATTTACATTGAGTTTAGTTTTGATATTGCTCATTATTCATACACACCCACTTGAGCTTAAGTATTTCATACATAATATAATTAGGGTTGTGAGTTTGTAACATTGAGTGTGGGCATACATTGAGTCTCATATATTATAGAGAACAAATATTTTTTTCTTGTGCTTAATTGTGAGATCACTTTGTAATACACAAGTACACCGAGAGGAGTGTGTGGTGAGAGACGTGGTCAATACCAAGAGGAGTGACGTTGGTAGTAAAGCCTAGAGAGAGGTTGTAAATCCGAGCACTTGAGGGAGGCGACACGTGAGAGACCAACACTTGATGTTGTAGTGTGTGATTACATTGTGAGTGATTGTAAGAGTTTTCGCTGAGCTAGAAAACTGAGATTGTGTGAGTTGTAAACGTTTTGGATGAACGTTAAAAACTCGTTGTGATAGTGGATTCTCCTCGGAAGTGGGGAGCAGAGACGTAGGTCGGAAGGACCGAACTCCGTGATCATCTTTGTGTGTTTGTGTTATTTATTTTCTCATTATCTCATTTGCATTTTAGTTTATGTTTATATCGCCCTTTGTTTATATTGCATATTCTAGCTCATAATTAGTTGTATATCATACTTGCAAGAATAAATTATTAATAAGTTTTAAATTGGCTTTAAATCAGATTAGAATAGCACATTACCCTATTCACCCCCCTCTAGGGTAATTTCATCATTTCACCAAACACCTTTATTGCATCCAACTATCTTGAAGTGCCAAATCTCTAACCCTAGCCTCCAATTCCGCCTCGGCCCTTCTTCAACCCCCAAGCCTCCAACTTTTCCAGTGGGCACCCGCACCTCGCAGGAAATAGCAGTGCAGTATGGCAATTGACCAGCGCCATCTTCCTCAGCTCGGCACACGAAACCTCATAATTGAGGTTCCTCCCCTGTTGCCCACCTTTTCACAATAGGTCTTCAATCTCCTTCCATTCCTTCTCCTTCTCCCTTAGTAAGGCTCGGTCTGAATATAGATATTGAACTCTAGCACCTTCTTCAAGCCCTTGCACTTAGGGGAATCTGCACT